GTGCACACGCCTTCGAAGTGGAGCTACCGGCGCTGGAGACTCTGCCGCTGGAGACACTGGAGTTACTGCTGGAGCTGGTGGTACCGGAGGTGCTGCAGCTGCTGGTCCTGGAGGTGCTCGTACCAGGGGTACTGGAGCTGCCGGGACTGGTAGTGTTGGGGGCGCCTGAGCTGGAGACCCTATGGAGCCTGGAGCTGCTGGGGTTGGAGGCACTGGAGCTGGAGGCACTGGTGCTGGTGGCGCTGGAGCTGGAGGAGCTGGAGCTGTTGGCACTGGAGCTGGAAGCACTGGCGCGGGAGGCGCTGGAGCTGGAGGAGCTGGAGCTGTTGACCCTGGAGCTGGAGGTGCTGGAGCTGGGGGTGCTGTGTCTGGTGGTATTGGTGCTAGAGGCACTGTGCGGCCGTGACCGTACTTCGTTCCCCTGCTTCAGCAGGTTCTTGGTGTCCCGTCTTCTCCTGGCCTTACTCCTCCCTTACCGTGTCCACCGCTAGACCAGTCGCAGCCGCTGTTACAGCCAGCCTCCGCACTGCCAGCTCCTTCTCCTTACACTGAGCAAACCGGCAGTCTTACAGAGCGTCGTGAGCCTGCGTCTTGTCCTGCCTCCCCTGTTTGCACTGGTCGTCGCGTTCCTTGTCTGCGTCCTCCTCCTCCCACGCTATGGCACTTCGTCCTTCCTCTGTTCCACTGCGTGTTCCTCTGCCGCCTCCTCTTGAGTCCTCTCTTCCTGCCGTCCCTGACCCTGAGTCTGACCGCGCTCGTGCTGCCAGTCCCACTGTCACTGACCCTTCTTTTGAGTCCACTGCTGCGTCTGCCCTCGTTTCTGAGCTGGTTGACTTTGCTGCTGCCTGTCGTCTAGACTACGCCACTGCTCCTGTTGCTGAGTCTGAGTCTGCCAGTCCTCCGTCCGTCGGGGGTGAGTGTGCTCTTGGCACGGACGTCCTTGAGGACAGGCAGGAGGACTTTGAGTGTCTTGCAGCTGCTGTACCTCGTTTCGCTTCCATGCTGCTTGCCCCTGAGGGAGACCCGGATGCACCAGACATCCCGACCCCGCGCTCCTACGCAGATGCAATTACGTGTCCTTACTCTTCTAAGTGGCAGGCAGCCATGGATGCCGAGATGGCATCCTGGTGTCAAACTTATATATGCTATTGTCTGTTTAGGCTGTACTGGGGTAGTTCTTATAGGGTACAACACTTTTAGGTTTCCTATTTTGTATCCACCTGCTTCCTAGTTCATCAATTCCATTCTCTCAGATTCTAACACCTGGAAGTCCACAGGCACCTACGTCGACGCAGTTCTCCCATCTCAGGCGAACATTGTCGATTGCATGTGGATTTTCAGGGTGAAGTGGCCGCCGGGTTCTCCGCCTGCCTTCAAGGCGCGTTACGTTGCTAGAGGCTTCACTCAGTGACAGGGGGTCGACTACTTCCAGACCTTCTCCCCCACCCCAAAGATGACTACTCTTCGGGTGTTGTTGCACGTTGCTGCTCAGCGTGACTACGACTTACACTCTTTGGACTTCAGTACAGCTTTCTTGCACGAGGAGATCTGGCTGCGCCGCCCACTTGGCTTCACTGGGTTGTTTCTTGCAGGTACCCAGTGGAGCCTTCGGCGGCCAGTCTAAGGTCTCCGCCAGGCGCCTCGCGAGTGGCACGACACAATGAGGACTACACTTGCGGCTATGGGGTTTACTCCTTCTACTGCTGACCCGTCACTGTTTCTACGCACCGACACGTCGCTGCCGCCGTTCTACGTCCTCGTGTACGTCGACGACCTGGTCTTTGCCACTGCTGACACTGAGTCGCTGACCCTTGTGAAGTCGGAGCTGCAGAAGAGACACACTTGTTCTGACCTGGGTGAGCTGCGCAGCTATCTTGGCTTGCAGATCACCTGGGACAGAGCACGGTGCACCATCACAATGACTCAGTCACACATGGTGCACCAGGTCCTTCAGCGCTTCGGCTTCACGTTCTCCTCGCCACAGCCCACTCCTCTATCTACCGGCCACTCGCTCTCAGCTCCACCTTCGAACGAGTCCGTAGAGCCCAGTGGTCCGTACCCAGAGCTTGTGGGTTGCCTCATGTACCTGATGACGTGCACACGACCTGACCTCGCGTACCCTCTCAGCCTCCTGGCTCGCTACGTGGCTCCCGGTAGGCACCGAAAGGTGCACTGGGATGCTGCAAAGAGGGTACTGCGTAACTTGTGCAGTACGTCGTGCATGGGGCTCGTGCTTGGAGGACGGGGTCCAGTTGTCCTCACTGGTCACGCAGACGCTTCTTGGGTTGACGACTTAGCTACGCAGCGGTCGTCACAGGGTTACACCTTCAGCCTCGGTTCCTGCTCTATTTCCTGGCGGTCTACCCGCTCGTCTTCAGTTCTCAGCTCCAGTTGTGAGGCTGAGATCTACGCCGGGGCCATGGCTGCACAGGAGCTACGCTGGCTCACCTACCTGCTGACTGACTTGGGTGAGCATCCTCGTTCGAAATGTATGATAACTTGCACCCAATTGGGGCCTAAACAAGTTTTGTAATAAACATATTGCATACAGGGTTCGCGATTGACAGTTACGAGTTTGTGTAGGCTACCTATAGCCCCAAAAAAACATCTTGCTCTAATGAGTCAGCTCTTCCCTCTCGACACCCCACACGGACAAATCTTTCCGAAATGTCCCGCGCCTTATTTCGTGCACTATTAGATGTAGACTAGTTAGGTTCAGAGGAGATTACGGGCGGATACTACGATCTACGAGTAGCGCTAACACCCCCGCAGCATGAAGCACCTTAGCGAGGAGAAACAGAAGCGCATCATGCAGCGAATTGCGGAGGGGCGTAGTTACCGCCAAATTGCGCAGGAGTTGGGAGTTTCAAAGTCTGCCATCCATGACGAGCTCCTCCGCCACCTCGGTCCGAAAACGTTCGACGAGCTAGTGCCGTCCCCGACGAAACCTGGTCGGCCGCGCAAGTTACCAGAGCAAATCGCGAGGATAGTTATAAGGTCGATAGTGTCTGGTGAATCGAAATCCGCCGAGGACGCAGCGGGAATGATAATAAGCAAGGGCACGATCACGGCACTCTCACTCTCATATTCCACCCTGATTCCGAAGTTGAACAGCGCTGATCTAATAAAGTGTACTGCTCTTCCTTCTCTCTCTTCCTTCTCTCCCTGTCTTTTGAGTCGACTCAAAAGTCACCGCTGAACTGATAAAGTGTACTGCTCTTCCTTCTCTCCCTGTCCCTCCACCCATTGCTCCTGCTCCTCCTCTCGTTTTCTCCCTTCTCTTGCTCGTTTTGATCCCTTCTACTATTCATGCTCCTCTCTTGAACCCTCCTTTTCCCCCTTCCATTTCCCTTGCCTCTCCCGCTCCCTTCTACTCCTGTTACTCCTCCTGCCCATCCCATCCCCAACGTCCCTCCTCCTTCTGTTAGGCTGTGGTGCCGACGGCTCGCTCCGTCTCATTCTGATCTCTCTATGCTGAAAGGGGTGCTGGAGCCGAGTCACTAGAGCAGAGCAGCCAGACCGGATGGGCTCCTGAACAACCCTCCTGCTCCTGCTCCCCATCGTTCTCGTTCCCCTGCCCGTCCCATCCCCAACGTCCCTCCTCTTTCTGTTAGGCTGTGGTGCTGATGGCTCGCTCCGTCTCATTCTGGTCTCGCTTTGCTGAAAGGGGTGCTGGAGCCGAGTCGTTTGAGCAGCAGGGAGAGCTGCTGAGCGACCTCTGCCAGGCAGGTGACTTTCTTTATACATGCTGTTGAGAGTGGTTGAGAGCGGTAAGGAGTGGTGACTAGGATGGTTCTGGAGCCGAGTCGTTTGAGCAGCAGGGAGGGCTGCTACTGAGGTATCTCTGCCAGGCAAGTGGCTTTCTTTATACATGCTGTTGAGAGTGGTTGAGAGCGGTAAGGAGTGGTGATGAGGATGGCCAGGAAGGGCTGCTGAGGTATCTCTGCCAGGCAAGTGGTTTGGGTTTCAAGGGGGGCTGGCAAGTGTGGTTGAGAGCGGTAAGGATGGTGGCAAGGATGGATGGCCCTGGAGCCAAGTCGTACGAGTAGCAGGGAGGGCAGCTGCTGAGGTATCTCTGCCAGGCAAGTGGTTTGCCTTTCAAGGGGGGCTGGCAAGTGTGAAGGGTGGCTGAGATTCGTGGGGAGTTGTTGAGATCTCTCATCCAACCCTAGGACTAGATTCGTGGGGTGTTCTTGAGACGACCTCTCATCCAACCCTTCAAGTTCACTTCAGCCTATCAGACAGCACAACACATCTCTGCACACCGGCATCATCAGTCAGATGTTCTTATCATTCAAAGCATTTCTTACCTGTATCCTCAATATTGTTTGACCCATCTTTCCAACCTTTTTTACTTACCTTCCCGCCCGCCCCTCTGTCCCCTCCTTCCGTCCATTCCCCTCCTTCCTTCCATTCCTTCCTTTTCTGCCTCCCTCCCTCCGTCTTTCCATTCTTGCAGATCATCCTACCACAGCTGCTGCATCCTGATTGGCTCTCATCCCGCCATGCCAGCTGGACCGACGAATGCCTAGCTTCCAAATCAGCACCAGCAGTGCATTCACGCATTCAGGTAAACACCATCAGAGTACATTCAGTCCCTCTGGTACACTAAAGTTAACTTTTGACTTTTGAGTCGACTCAAAAGAGGTGACTTTTGACTTTTGATTTGACTCAAAAGAGGTAACTTTTGACTTTTGAGTCGACTCAAAAGGCATTCACGCATTCAGGTTGAAGAAAATGGATCGGTGAACTTAGGGCACGATAGGAAGAAGAAATATCCTTAGCAAGAAAATGGTACAAGTCTTAAAGACTAGAGCAAGGTCCTTGTCCAAGGATGATTCCTAGTGAAGTGGGAAGCCACATATATGGGGCTGAACTCTTGAGGCTAGCTGCAGCACCTCAAAGCTGAGGGCAAGGCTAGCCAACCTTGCCAAGCTAGCAAGTGAGGCCACATGTTGCACATGTGGGCCAGGCTGGAACAATAGCCCACATAACAGCATATGGCACACCATAGAGGCCAGCAAGGTGAGTGTGGGATGAGTGGACAGGTGGCAATGCCAACTGAGACCACACTTCACTGTGGAGTGTGGTGGAGTGTGGACATGTAATGTGGAGCATAAGGAGAAGGAATAGTGTAATTGCTGAGAGTTGAACTCACGACCTCCAAGACTGAAGGTGAGAATCTACCCTCTGGGACATACTTGCTGCACAACACAGGTAACACCACCAGAGTACAATCAGTCCCTCTGGTAGGGTTGAGCACGGGCCGGGCCGGGCCCTCAGGTACACTAAATTCTCCTCATATTCATTCGTTGAAAGCACCTTCTCTTTCCTTCCCCTTTCATATTCCTTACCTCCCAACTCCCATCTACTGCCCTTTTTCCCCTCTCCCCCCTCCAGGAGCTCTCTTCAGCCATCCTCTAGTCGCACGTCTCAGACCTTTGCCGCTGTCGCTGCAAAGCCTCTCTGCCGCTGCATTCCTTTGTGTCCTGTTCCTTCACTCTGTATCCGTGTGCTTCCCCACCAGTAGCTCTCTTCAGCCATTCTCTGGCCGCACGTGGAAGACCTCTGGAAGGATTCTCAGCCACCGCAACCAGCGGCAGCGTGGGCTGCCTTCAAGCGCCCTCTGTCTGTACCCCTGTCTCCCCCCTCCAGGAGCTCTCTTCAGCCATCCTCTGGCCAAACGTGGAAGTTCTCTGGAAAGTCTCCATGCCGCCGCAACCAGCAGCAGCATGGGCTGCCTACAAGCATCTTGCTTCCTTCCCATGTTGTTCGTTCACTCTGTATCCATGTGCCTTCCAAGCAGGAGCTCTCTTCAGCCATCCTCTGGCCACACGTCTCAGACCTCTGGAAGGTTTCTTTGCCGCCGCAACCAGCAGCAGCGTGGGCTGCCTTCAAGCGCCCTCTGCTCGCTGCTGTGGCAGCGTGTGTGGTGACGGGCACGCCTGGGAGGGAGAGGCTCTGGTCCAAAAACGGGGGGATCTTTGGGTTCCTTCCCTTTGCTGTGGGTGGTGGCGGTGCTGGTGGTGGTGCTGGTGGTGGTAACAGTGCTGGTGCTGGTGGCGGTGCTGGTAATGATGGTGGTGCCACTGCTGCAATTCTCGCATCTAATGTGACTGTGAACCGTAATGTTGTGGGCACAGAAGCTGCTGCTGCTGCTGCTGCGGCTGCGCCTGCTGATACGACTCGTGCTAAGGTAGCATCAGGAGTCGGGGCAACAGCAGCAGGGGCAGGAGCAGTGGAAGCAGCACAAGGGGTGGCAGCAGCACAAGGGGTGGCAGTAGCAGTGGCAGCAGCGGCAGCAGGAGCACCAGAGGGGTCAGCGGGCAGTAACGTGGTTAAGTGTTTTGGTTTGCTAAGCAGCGGCAGAAAGTGCCCACGCAAGGCCAGGCCTGGCGATCTGTTCTGCAGCGCTCATGCTGATGCAGGGGTGCCAGGGGGGAAGGGGGTGAGAGTCGGAGGAGTGATAGATGGGGCAGTGAATAGTGAGGGAGACAAAGGGATTGCGACAGAACGAATGCAACGGGGAGGGGGGGAAGATTTAAGGGAAGGAGGGGGGAGAGGAGGAGATGGAGGGGTGTTGAGAGGTGGCGAGGGGCTGAGCGATGGGGAAGTGGATTTGGGGGAGTTGGAACCCATTGGAGACCTCTCCTTAGACATGTATGGTTCTGGTGCTGATGATATGTGCGCGCGAACTGTTGGCATTGGTTCTGGTGCTGATTGCAATGGAGGAGAAGGAAGTGAAGGATTAGAAGAAGAGAGAGCAAGAGCATGGGTAGGAGCAGGAGCAGAGGCAAGAGCAGAGGCAGGATCAGGAGAAGCAGCAGGAGCGGCAAAAGTATTGAGCTTTGGCGGTGTCTCTGGAGGTGTGAGGAGCTCGTTTCAGCAGAGGAAAGAGAGGCTGATCGTGCTGTGCACTGGCGTTACAAAGAGAGGCGGGCCGTGCCAGGTGCCAGTGCTGCCTCCCTCCGCGCTGTGCCAGTTCCACAGGCGACAGCAGCAGGATCAGCAGCACACACTGGAGCATGTGCAGCAATCAGGACAGCAGAGACGGCAGCCGCACCAAGAGCAGCAGAAGCAGCAGCAGCAGGAGGGGAAGCTGCAGCAACAAGAAGATGCAAGGCAGTGGCGGCGGCAGCGGCAGCAGCAGCGGAAAAAGGCAAAGGATATGTACTATGGGGATAAAGATTCGGAGTATTATGATGATGGTGAGGAGGAGGGCCGTGGGAAGGCCCATGAGGAGGAGGAGGGCCAGCACATGATGAGTTGTGATGAGGAAGGTTACCACAAGGATGGTGGTTACCACATGCACAGTCAGGGGCTCTGCGAGGAGGCGCATCGTGTTGGTGATAGTACTGCTCCTCGTAACAGCGACTACAACGAAAGTGATTCTATCCGAGGTGACTATAGTGAAGGTGATGATGGTAAAGAAGGTGAGAGTGGTACCGAAGTGAGAGAGCTGAAGCGCCAGGTTAGGCAGCTGTTTGGAACGTTCGTTGAGGGAGACGTAGGGCAGTGGGCAGCCTTGGCAGGCGGACCAGGATTTGAGGCGCCTCGAAAGCTGTTTGGGGCGTTTGTTGAGGGAGACATAGGGAAGTTGGCTGCCCTGGCAGATGGACCGGTAGCAGTTGGTGGTATTGGGGAGAGTGGTATGAGGGAGGGTGATGTGAGGGAGGGTGACATGGGGGGGGTTGATGTGAGAGATGGGGAATCAAGGGAGGGTGGTGTGAGAGAGAGTGGCTTGCGGCAGGGTGATGGGGTGCCTGCCCTCAGCTCTCCTCTCCTGTGTCGCTTGTCAGAGAGGATAGATAGCCTTGTGACTCGAGCTGCTGCAGCTGGCGATACTTCTGGTGCTGCTGCTGCTGCTGCTGCTGCTGCTGCTGCTGCTGCTGCTGCTGCTGCTGCTGCTGCTGCTGCTGCCGCTGCTCCTGCTGTTAATTCTTCTGGCGATGTTGTTAACACTCAAGAGAACCCTCAAATGAACCCTCAAGTGAACCCTCAAGTGAACCCTCAAATGAACCCTCAAGGGAACTCTCAAGTGAGCTCTCAAATAAACTCTCAAGTGAACCCGGGCCTCCTGCAGCTGCTGCAGCTAGTGTCCTCTCGATTGGACGATCTTCGGCCAATGATAGTGCGCCAGCGAGGCAGAATGGACGCTGACGATTGGTGGAGAGAGGACTGGGAGGGGTGGAGGAAGATGGTCTTGAAAGGAGGCAGCAGATGGAATGGGAGAGAGGGAGGGAGAGAGAAGGAGGATGAGGATGGTGATGCTGATGCTGATGCTGATGGTAAGCGGTGGCAAGAAGATGCCATGGTGGTTGAAGAGTCGATCGACAAGAGTGATGAAGATGGTCATGATGGTAAGAATCACGAGAATGGTGATGATGATGGTTCACAAGGTCGGGGAACCGTTGCTCAGGAGGCCGTTCGCGATTTTCATGAGTTTAGGAGGATGATAAGGGCGAGAGCACGGAGAAATAGAGAGGAGGAAGGGGAAGGTGAGGATGAGGGCGCAGGTTTGAGGGCAAAGAGGAGAAGAGTCACCCGTAGGGACTATTCCTTATCTCTGATGGGGGGAGCAAGAGCAGCTGGTGGTGTGGAGAGGGTTTCTACTGCACAGCAACTAGCAGCAGCAACGGCAGCAGAAGCACACCCAACAGCAGCAGCTGAAGCACCAGCAGTAGCAGGGGCAGCGGTGTCTGGATCTTCTAGGAAGAGCAGTGGTGCTACAGACGGATGTGCTCGAACCAGAGGGGACAGAGATTCCACCACTGCTACAGCTGCTGCAGGTGCTGCAGCCACTACAGATGCTACAGCTTCTGAAGCAGCTACAGCTGCTACCGCTGCTACAGGAGAAGCTGGTGTCATCGTATATCAGAGAAAAAAGCCGCGTCTGGCTAACTCTAAGACAGAGGCAGATTCCTTGGTGGTGTGTGCGGATGTGAGCAGAGGGAAGGAGTTCTTTGAGGCGCCTCAAAAGCCTCGTCTGGCTAAGACTAAGGGAAAGGGAGATCTGGATAAGTCCAAGGGAGAGGGAGAGAAGCTGGTGGTGTGTGCAGATGTGAGCGGAGGGAAAGAGAGGGTGCCGATACCATGTGTGGTGGACGAGGCAGTGAGGCAGGGGATGAGGAGTAGGGGGGATAAGGGAGAGGAGGAAGGAGGGGATTGGGAGCGGTGGAGGGAGTTTGAGTACATCACACAGCGGTGCGTCGACCCCAGCCTCGGTCTTGATCTCACTGTGAGTTGACTTGTCAGGCGCCTAAATAATTGCCTTGATTTTCACAATTATTGCCTCGGTCTTCATTAAGTTCTGTGTGTGCACTCCAGAGCGAGGGCCCGGTGTGCACTCCCAGGGCATGCGACCATGTGGAGCACTCGCAGCGGGACGCAGAGGGGTGGTGCACGCGACTTGAGAACATAACTGGGAGCTCCTGCTCCGGCTTCCCTTCATTCCTTCGCTCCCTCTCCTCCTCCAGAGCTGGCAGCTGGGCTGTGTGTGCACTCCAGAGCGAGGGCCCTGCTTGCGATTCCAGGCTGTGTGGCCACGTTGCTCACTCCCAGCAGGACACGGAAGGGGCCTGGTGGTGACTGTTGGTATGAGAAAGGAAAATGAACCGTGCTCCCTTGTTTCTTTGTACCAACCCTATTCTTGGCCCCTCCAGAGCTGGCAGCTGGGCTGTGTGTGCGAGGGCCCTGCCTGTGATTCCAGAGTGTGCGACCACGTGGAGCACTCCCAGCAGGACACGGAAGGGGAAGCATGCGACGTGAATGGGAAGTCTATGAAAGGACGCTTCGCCTATGACAGCAACGGCAGGATCGTGCTGCAGGTGTGAACGAAACCAAGAATGACTGGAAAAGAAAGAAAGCAGAAATTACAGCTGTGTGCAACGTAAATGGGAAGTGCATGCCAGGGCGACTTTTGAGACGTCTCAAAAGCATGCGAGGGCGTTTCGCCCACGGCATCGATGGCAGGGTCGTGCTTCAGGTATAAAGCAAAGCAAGAAAACGAGTTTTGAGGTGTCTCGGAATCGAGCGGAGTCTATGTGTGCGTTTTAGGCAAAGTGCCCTTGAAATTTTATCTTAGTCACATGGACGGACCCTTACTGCGATGTGATGCAACTTGCATTGCACTGTGGCTGCACTGACTTCTCTACTTTTTGTTTTTCGAAGGGGGAAAAAAAAAAAAAAAAAATGCTTTTGTGTCACCCCTTCGTCATGCCCTGCTCCCCTGCCCTTTGCTCCACAGAGAGGCCTCCTGGTGTACGAGTGCAATGCGCGCTGTGCGTGTGATGCCCTCAAGTGCCCCAATCGGGTGCTGCAGCGAGGCATTCAGCATCGCCTTGAGCTCTTCCTCACTCCACACAAGGTCAGCCCCTCTCAGTTTGCTGTCTGACTGACTTGACTGACTGGATGCCACATGGCATGCCTTCAAGTGCCCCAATCGGGTGCTGCATCGAGGCATTAAGCATCGCCTTAAGCTCTTCCTCACTCCACACAAGGTCAGCTTCTTTCATTCTACTGACTCACTCGTTCACTAAATCACTCACTTGTCCCTTCACCCTGTCGCTTCCTCACTCTTCACGAGGTCAGCTTCTTTCATTCTACTCACTCTCTCACTCTCTCACTCACTCACTCACCCACTCAATCACTCACTCACTCACTCACTCAATCACTCACTCACTCGTCCCTTCACCCTGTCGCTTCCTTACTCTTCACGAGGTCAGCTTCGCTCGCTCTGTCTCGTCCTGTCTCTACATGATTGTGCCGTTGCTTACACATGTGCTCCTGTCCCTCATACAGGGCTGGGCGGTGAGAGCAGCTGAGCCATTGAAGCGAGGCACCGAAGTGTGATCTGACATCTTCCCGCCACCACGCTTTTCCTCATATCTCCTTCACCTCTGCGTGCAGGGCTGGGCGGTGAGAGCAGCTGAGCCGTTGAAGCGAGGCACCTTTGTGTGCGAGTACATTGGGGAGGCGGTGGGCAGCATTGTAAAGGTCTCAGTACTGTGCTCTCTCCCTCCCACTTCTGACCGGTTTTCCCTACCAAACCCCCTGCTTGTGACTCCGTGCGATTGTTGCCTCCTCATGCAGGGCTGGGCAGTGCGAGCAGCTGAGCCATTGAAGCGAGGCACCTTTGTGTGCGAGTACATCGGGGAGGTGGTGGGCAGTGCAGACGTCTCAGTACTATAACATTGACCCCTTGACCCTGTGCTGTTGCCGCCTCCTGCGTGCAGGGATGGGCAGTGAGAGTAGCTGAGCCGTTAAAGCGAGGCACGTTTGTGTGCGAGTACATTGGAGAGGTGGTGGGCAGCACAGAAGCCAGCACACGTGCACAGGCATACCCCGACATCGGCTCTTATCTGTACGATATAGACGCACACCTGGACGCGCCTCGTGCTGCGGTGCACTGCGGATCAAGTGAGAGATCATCAAGAGAAGAGAGGCTTGGTAGTCAGAAGCAGGGAAGTGCGTTGGTCAAGAGAAGAAGCAGATTGGCACGGACTGGTGGGCGTGCTGGGTGGGTGAGGAGAAGCGAGCAGCTGGAGAGGGAGCGGCTTAAAGAGAAATGGGAGTGGGGTGAGGAGGGATGGGAGGATGAGGAAGAGGAGTTGGAGGAGGAGGATTGGGAGGACTTAGGGAACGTGGAAGATTTGGAATTGGAGGAGTTGGGGCTGAAGAAGCCGCAGCAGCAGCTGCAGCAGCATTTTGTGATTGATGCTACTCGCCAGGGGAACATTGCAAGATTCATCAACCACAGGTGTGTGGCATGTTGGAAGGAGTGACTTTTGAGAATTCTCAAAAGAGAATTCTCAAAAGTCACTCCAATATAGCTGGCCTACAAATCCCTCCGGTTCTGGTGTGTTGGAAGTTACCTACACGGTTACAAAACCGTTTGGTTAGGGCTCGCTTCTCTACAGCGAATCCCACTACAACGGACTCACCTACTGTTTTGTGGTGAAGTTCCCTTGGGCCTTCGGGAATTTCTCGAGTGGTCCCATGCTGATCCAAGTTGGCAGCCTTGTATGGTTCGGGCAGATTTCGCCTGGGTAGTGGTTAGACCTAGGGAATTTGGGGGGTTGAGAGGATAACGGGAAGAAATGGTAGAAATGGGACTAGAAGGGTCTTGTTTGTAAACCTAACTGGCGCTGATGAAGGCCTCACAGGCCGAAACGCGTACGCCTACTTAGTACTTTTACTTTGAGACTTATCAAGTCCTCATTCATACCTTTTTTCCTAGTCCTACGAAGCAACCCACCCATACTTAGCTGAAAGGTTCAACGGCGACCACACGGCTTGCTGCGTTTCGAATCCTTCATTACTCCGCAAGAGGCTACAGCTGCAGCAGCATTTTGTGATTGATGCTACTCGGCAGGGGAACATTGCAAGATTCATCAACCACAGGTGTGTGGCATGTTGGAAGGAACCGGAACTCCCTGAGCATTAGAGCAGTTGCGGTAGTGGCAGCAGCAGCCACAGCACTTTGTGATTGATGCTACTCGGCAGGGGAACATTGCAAGTTTCATCAACCACAGGTGCGTGGGATATTGGATCTAACAGAGGAGGGGTGGTGGGATGTGGGGAGGAATGTGGAGGTTTGGGAACTGGAGGAACTGGGGCTGAAGCAGCAGCAGCAGCAGCAGCAGCAGCAGCCACAGCACTTAGTGATTGATGCTACTCGGCAGGGGAATATTGCAAGGTTCATCAACCACAGGTGTGCGGCATGTTGAATCTAACCAAACATCCCCGTGTATTAGGAAGTTACCCCCCCCCCCCCCCCCCCCCCCCCCCCCCTCTCCTTTTTCATAAACACTTCTCCCAGCTGTGACCCCAACCTGGTGAACTACTCAGTGGGTGCTTGTGGAGAGCATGGACTGCAGCTCTCGTTTTTGCACCTCCCTGTGACCCCAACCTGGTGAATTACTCAGTGCTTACGGAGAGCATGGATTGCCACCTCTGCTCCTTCCTTCGCACCTCCCACTCCCACCCCCATTACCTCTTCTGGCTCTCCCATCCCACACACACCTCCCCCAGCTGTGACCCCGACCTGGTGAACTACTCAGTGCTTGTAGAGAGCACGGACTGCCGGCTCTGCTCTTGGCATTTTCCAACCTTTTTCCCCACCCCACCCTGCCTTACCCCCTCCCCTCTCATATGCACCTCTCCCAGCTGTGACCCCGACCTGGTGAACTACTCAGTGCTTGTACAGCCGGCTCTGCTCTTGGCACGGACTGCTGGCTCTACTCAGTGAGCACGGACTGCCGGCTCTGCTCTTGGCATCTTCCTGCCATTTCCCCACCCCACCCTGCCTTACCCCCTCCCACCCCTCACATATACACCTCTCCCAGCTGTGACTCCAACCTGTAAAACTACTCGGTTCTTGTGGACAGCATGGGCTGCAGCTCTCGTTTTTGCACCTCCCTGTTCTTTTCCCTCTCCTACCCCGCACTTCCCCACCCCACCTGTTCCCCTTTCCCCTGGGTTCCTCCCGCTCCCAGCTGTGACCCCAACCGGGTGATCTACTCAGTGCTTACGGAGAGCATGGATTGCCAGCTCTGCTCTTCTTTTCTCCCTGCAATTTACCCACCCCACTCCCCCCTACCCCTTTCCCCCTCCTTATATACTCCCCCTCCCAGCTGTGACCCCAACCTGGTGAATTACTCGGTGCTGGTGGAGAGCATGGACTGCCAGCTGGCGCATATAGGCCTGTTTGCCGCCCGAGATGTGAGTCCACTGGTGTGCTTGTAATGAGCGAGTGTGCGGTGTGGTTTCTGTGATTGGGGCGTATGGAGATCGCAAGGTATTACTAATTGGACTAGGTTGTAAGTTTTTTTTTAGATGGGTGTGGATTTGCTGCTGTGCTTCTGAGGGTTGAAACTTGTGATTCTGTGTACCCCCTCAGTTTGCTGTTTATTTATCTTTTTGTTTGCAATTCGTTTGAATATCCGTTTGTCATTCTATTTGCAGATAGCAGCAGGAGAGGAGTTGTCATACGACTATCACTACAGTTTAGTGGATGGCCCGGGTTGCCCCTGTCACTGTGGAGCCAAGAAATGTCGTGGTCGTCTCTATTAGCATGCATTAGGCAATGCTTTGTGTTTTCAACCAGTTATATACGGTGATAGTGTTTTCTGATTGGTTCTTGTAAATATTCGAATATTTTCAAACGAGATCAAAATATTTCAGCATACGCCATTATTCAATATGACAGAGGTGTGTACTTTTTTGTAGCAGTGCCAAATAGTAGATCTCCATCTGTTCTTGTCGAGGCATCTCGAACTGGAGCCGCGACAACGTCTGTGGTCGCCTGCTTTGTTCTCATCTTCCTGTGATCATTTGCCGTTTCCTGTTTGCTGATACCTGTCTCGTCGCGCTTTAGTTAGGAACTTAGGGTTAGTTCCTCCCCCGTAGGCGTAGTTAGAACGCATAACCAATAATACCGACAAGTTAGCGCCTTTAACTTACTTATCAGGCCGTGAACATTACGTTGATTGTCAGCTAACTGTTTTTCTCACACGGAGCCCAGCGTTTTGCTTACTGGGGATCGGAGGGGCTCCTTATGGCGGAGAGCAGTGGCGCGTCCGACGATGCGCTGCTGCGGGAGTTCTTCGCTGAGGTCGGCGCGGTGGAGAGGGATAACGAAGTAAACAGGTGCGATGCAGAGCGGTGATGAGGTTAGCAGGTGCGATGCAGAGCGGTGAGGAGGTGAGAATTGGCGAATCAGAACATCACGGTCGAAGGTGGCAGACGGTCTGGTTATTGCTGATCGGGGAAAAGCATGTTTGCTGGTCATCAAGCACTCGTGGCTCCCCCAGTTGCCCTTTCCTCCCCCTATCTCTCTCCGGTACCAGCATTTTACCCTGCTTAAATCTTCGAGCTTTGCGACGTCCCAAATCATCCCCACAAAATTCCTCCCCTTGTCACCCTCTCAGGGTCCTGGCGTGTTTCAAGCTGAATCCGTTCGAGCAGCTGAATCTGCCGTTTGATGCCAAAATGGAGGTTTGGGGCGCCTAATCCCACCCACCCAACCAACCCCCACCCCCCCCCCCCCCCCCACCCCTCCAACCCTCCTCCCCACCCCCGCGGATCTCTCCCTCATCTATTTGGTCAGGGTCCTGGCGTGTTTCAAGCTGAATCCGTTCGAGCAGCTGAACTTGCCCTTTGACGCTAAAGTGGAGGACGTAAAAAAGCAGTACCGCAAGGTGAGAATACAGGCTGGCTGGCTTGAGATGTACGGTACTGTTTTGGTCCCCTTGTTACGATGCCACAAGCTGAACCTGCCGTTCGATGCGAAAGTGGAGGACGTGAAGAAGCAGTACCGCAAGGTACGAGTGTTGGCTGGCGGTACCTCGATACACCTCCTTACAACGCAAGGCACCTCGTTGCAATGCCAAAGCTGAACCTGTCGTTTGCCGCCAAAGTGGAGGACGTCAAAGAACAGTTCTGCAAGGTGACAATTCAGGCTGGCTTGAGATGCCAGAACAGTTTTGGTCCCCTTGTTACAACGTCAGCAGCTGAACTGACCGTCTGACGCCAAGGTGGGGGACGTCAAGAAGCAGTACCGCAAGGTACGATTCTTGGCTGGCAGCTGGACTGTGAGGCAACGTCTAAGGAACCTCGTTACAATGTCACACGAAGCACTGTAGCTGGTGCCCTTCTGTATTCCCCGCTTTTTTACGCATAGTCCAGCAGGTCAGAGCAAGCATTTAGTGCTTCATGCCTCAGGAGTTGCCTCTAGTTTTCTGTGTCATTATTCTGTTTTCCTTCTAGATAGTGCATTCTCTTTTCCCATCTCGCCCCGTTGATCCCTCTCCCAGGTGTCTCTGATGATTCACCCGGACAAGTGCAAGCACCCTCAAGCACGAGAAGCATTCGACGGTAAGAATTCAATCGAAGGTATCGTGACGTTCATACCACCCATAATGAGTTCACAGTCTAAACTACTTCAACATTCAAACAAATGATGGTAATGATGCAATCCATAAAGTGCTGTGGCATAAGTGATGGTATTCCTGCTTCATCGTCCTTGCAGTTATTTCCATTACACTGCATTGGTATCTTGCTGACTGCTGCCCCTCACTCATCATATCTGCATTGATTGAAACCCAACATACCCCACACATACCAGTGGTTGCCAAAGCACAGGAGAAGCTTCTGAGCTCAGACGAGTGGGGTTACCTCACATCACATCCCCTTGCGTCTTGTTGAGTTGACTGATGTCCCTCTCTCTTCTCTTTACACCCCTACTGCCTTCCCAAACACCCCACCCTCTCCCAGTGGTTGCCAAAGCACAGGAGAAGCTTCTGAGCTCAGACGAGTGGGGTTACCTCACATCACAGTTTGCAGCTGCCAAAGGTAAGCTCCGGCTGCAACTCAAACCGCCATGGGCAGTGAGAAGTGATAGCGAGTTTGTTTTGAGACGCGATAATATGTCCGCTTTGAGACGTCTCTAAATGAGTGGGGTTTTCTCGCATCACGGTTTTAGTTGACCTGAAATAACTTTCACCTTCTTCCCCTTCCTTCCTCCTCAACCACCGCACCTTCCTTCCGTCTCTGCCATTCATTCCCTCCCCCAATCTCCTCACCGCACACCAGAGGATGTCCTGAGGGAACACAAGAGGAGGCTGAAGAAGGAGAGGCAAGGCAAGCCGGCCGCAGACGGGCTGTCTAAAACCGAGGAGGTACAGTGAGGGAGGGGAAGTGTTTTAGGCACTTTATAAGCAGCAATTTCATGCATCACTCGAGCTACAAATCTTGAGGTGATGAAATGTTCTGATTTGAATTCCCGTCTCCCTGTGCTCGCTCACAGGAATCGGCCTTCCTGGCATCATCAGAGTTCAAGGAGCAATGGTGGTTGAAGGCCTGTGAGTTGTAAATACGACAAGTCCTTTTGAGTTATTTTCTTGCCTTGCGTTTGCCCAGGAGGCGGCCTTCCTGGCATCATCAGAGTTCAAGGAGCAGTGGCGGTTGAAGGCTCGTGAGCTGCTGACAGCGAACGAATGGAGGCGAAGAAAGCTCTCAAAGCGGGTGCGCATGGTTTTGTTCTTTCATGTTTTCTGAAACGCTTCATTCTCCTATTGCTTTTTATGATTTTTTTTTTCTGAGACCATCTCATTTCTTAAGCACGGTCGGAGTTAAGGCCTTTGGGAAGTTCGTGACCCTTACGCTTGTATATGGGATGTGGGGAGCAGATAAAGGAAGAGGAGGTGAAGATTCAGCAGGAGGAGGAGGAGACAAAGGAGAAGACCCTCAAGGAGAGGGAGCACACACAGAAGTGGGAGGAGACCAGAGAGACGCGGGTGAGTAGTGCTGGCGTGCTGTAACGAAGTGTTTTTGTTTTCTTCAGGCAGTCGCTCCTGTCATTTTCCATAGGTATTAGTCTTTCCCATTATCTGTAGGTATGATTCTTTTCCATTAACTTCACTGGTTACATTAATTTGTTCCTGCCACCTCCTTTTTGTCTTCTACTTCTCCTCTCGTATCATTCTTTTTGCCAAATTCGCTCCCATTGCCAGGTCGGCAGCTGGAGAGACTTCCAAAAGAAAGGCAACAAGGTGATCCGTGTGCTGTGGTGCATTGTGTCAATTTCAACCATGACCTACAGAAATGTTGACTCTATTTCATCTGCATCCTGCACTGGTGCATACCTCACTCATTATTGTGCTACTATACAGCAATCGTATCTGTGCAATGAGCGAATATGCATTCGGCCAACTCACTCTGTCGGGTTGTTGAGAAAGCACGAGCTATTCATTTTTTGCACTCCCAGGTGCCCCCATCCTTGGCCCCTCCCTCCTCCACACCAATCTCCCCCACCGCCACCACTACCACAACCATTCATCTTAATACCTATCTGGTTTGGCCTTTTTTTTGTTCTTGTCCTTGTACACTATCCGGTACTTGCAGAGGGCAAAGGGTGAGCTCAAGCCTCCAGCCATGCGAGCTGAAGATCCTAATAAATCCTACGTGAGGCGGCCTGCAAAGAAAGGATGATACGAGGCCGCTCAGCGTTATTGCTGCATAGGGAGAGGTATTGTGATTGGAAGTGGTGATGCAATCACACTGAATGTAACTTCATGTATTCTGATTTTGAAATGAAAGCATGCCATTTGTTGCCTAAACGCGGTATTGCATACAAGCTGCTCATGCGCGGAATAATGCAAGATGAGGTGCGTATCGGATTTGTCGTGGAGCTTTTCCGTTGGCCGAGTCGTGCATATTTCGAGCCGTTGATGTTTCAGCTGAGCTGAGCTGATGCGTGCCTGTCAACAAGGACCATCTGGCGCGAAGCGCGTCAACTTCGAAAATAACATCCCGTCAACCTCCAAGTTCCAAGCCAATCAGCCGCGATGATAAGGGGTGGAAAGTGGTTCGTAAAGTTTTTTATGGGTAATTTAGGGTTCGTGCGTAGTCATTGGTCAAGCCTGCGAAACCACCAAAGTTTGACTAGGACAAAACTCAAGCTGCTAACTTCATTTGAGGCACAATCAAGCGCAACGAAGCCGAGAGAGCAAACACAGTGGTAGTTCTCATCCAAAGACCTTCCAAAATCCATCACTCTTTGCCTTCGCATTTGATACTGTATCCCGAACAGCGTCGCTTTAGTGTCGTCAGAAGCAGTCAATTGACGTTTTTCCTGAAGTGGAACCTCGTTTGGCCCACGGGTAAATGAAAGCAGTTTCTTCCGACGACTCCACATCTCTTAGACTCGGCCGTTGCGTTCAAAGAACTGTCTGGGATTCTTCCTAAGAATTCCGCTTGTTCTTGGAGTAAGCGTCAGATTCTCTGTAGTCCATCCTTTACTTACTCGCATGGGGCTGGAACTCAGTTTTCGTTGAGCGGGGTAATAGTTGCATACCACCTTGTTAGAACGACGATGGCGATGGAGTATTTACGAAAGCTAGACGACGCGGCTTTCGCAACTCAGGAGATGGACCTGGTTCTGGAGCTCGAGTCGCGAGTCGGGCAGTTAGAGAGCGCAAATAAGGAGCAGGAGAAGGAGATATCATCTCTAAGAACACAGGTAAGCGTGACCATCATACTGCGGCTATTGCTGTGCGTTTCAGTACTTCAACGCTCCGATGTTTAGAACTTCCGGGCTAGTCCATTTAGGATATCATATGCAAGTAGTAAAACCTTCTCGTTTACCTATCTTGCTGAAAATTTCCGTTTATTTTCCCGTCAGCTCGCGATGACAGAGGAGAGCCTTCAGCGCGAAAAAGAGGCGTCAGTGCGTCTCTTGCAGCTGCTGCAGCAGGAGCGCGAGGCGCGCTCGGCCATGGCGGCGGTGAGGGAGGAGGACCGGGTGCTATCGGATGCGGATATGGCGGCACTGATGCACAAGAACAAGGAACTCGAGGACGTGCTTCGGAGATTAGAGGAAGACGTGGATGCGATATCGCAGGAGAAAGAATCTCTGATGAAAGACAGAGACGGCATGGCGGTGGAATCCAGGTGACTGTGCTTGCTACAACCCGTTGCGGTCGACATCCTCGATAGTAACCTTTCCTGCGTTCGTTTCAAATGAAGTCAAGAACAAGGCATGTAAATTCTCATGCGTTTTCTCCTGTCTGTTTGCAGCTCGTTGTGCGAGCGGTTGGAGGAGGCGGAGGCGGCGAGCGAGATGCTGAAGCGGGAGAACGAGAACCTCGAGGCTGAGCTTGTGGCTGCGCGCAAATCCCGAGACACGTACTGGAACCACAGCATCGCATTGTACCAAGAAAAAACAAGGTAAGTAATCAGGGATCTAATGTGCGTCTGAGGTCTGGGATCCTTCACAACGCATACTGGAACCACAGCACCGCGTTGTGTGCAAAGAGTGCATTCGCGAGGAGCCACGTGTAATAAGGTTATTTTTGAGACGTCTCAAAAATAACCTCATTACACGTTACTACTGGAACCACAGCACCGCGTTGTGCAAAGAAATAACAAGATACATGGTGCATTCGCGAGGAGCCACAGCTCAATTTCTTACCAAGATAAGACGAGGCACGAACAGGGTACTGACGCGTACGAGGGCTCTAATGCTGTGATGTTCTTTTGAAAACTCTCAGTATAGGAGTATCGCGTTCGGGTCCATTTTATCCATGGATCCTCGTCCCATGTTCACCCTATTCATCCATACATCCCTCTCCTCATTCTCACCCATTCGCCCTCATTTTCCCAACCACCCCATGCCAGGTTGGAAGTGCAGCTGGCGATGATGAATAAGATCACCAGCACCAGGGCCCTTCTCATCCATGCGTCCTGTCCTTATCCTCACCCGTTCTCCCTCGTTTCCCCATCTACCCCATGCCAGGCTGGAGGAGCAGCTTGTGATGATGAATAAGATCACCAGCACCATGTCGGGTTCAACTGCTAGGCAAAGGGCGGCAGCGCGCCACTCTTTAGCGGGTACAGGAGGAGGCAGCTCAGCCAAGCAGGGCCCAAACAGGGGAAGCACACCCACACGCGCCCACGGCCACAACCAGCAGCAACAGCAGCCGCAGCAGTTTCAGAATTACTCAAACCCACTCCAGGCCCACATTTCCCTCACCCCCCCTCCGCCATCCTCGAAAGTGACAGATCCGTTTGAGTTACCAGTAGACCACTCCTACCAGGACTTGCCGTCTACAGCAAATCACCAGTTCCCTGGGCCCCCGGGCGGCCTATGCTTGTCCCCATCCCGGGCTGATAATCCGTCAGTGAGGAGCTTGAATGGGCGGGAAGGCGTGTCCGGGAGTAGGATTCCTGGGACAGGCACGGGAGCAACCACAACAGCAGCAGCAGCACGGAGACAGTCGGAAGCTCCTGGTGGGTTCAGTCATTCCTCGGCCAGGCAGCTTCAGCAGCAGCAGCAGTCGCCACTTCGGCAGAGGGAATCATTTTATCAGGTCAATCCCTCAGCAGCAGGAGAAGCTGGTGGTGCAGCATCTCAGCAACTGCAGTTCCAACAGCAGCAGCAGCAGCAACAGTTGCAGCAGCAGCAGAGCCAGCAGCAGGTGCAGCAGAAGGTGCAGCAGGCCGCACATCCGCCCACCCTCATCCCCTCCCCTGCCTCCTCCGCCCGTCTCAACTCCGAGCGCTCCTCCATCTGCAGCTCTCCGCGAAGCCCTGGCAAAGCAGGCTCGGGGGGAGGCGGGGGAGGGGGAAGAACCGGAAGCGGGGGAGGCGGAGGAGGAGGGGGGGGAGGCGGAGGCGGAGGCGGAGGGGGGGGCGGAGGGGGCAGGAGCAGAGCAGGTGGGCTTGACGGGAGTGGGGAATACATGGATGAGAATTGCAAGTCTGGAGTGTCATGGGGGAGTGGGGGGAACGATGTGGGGGAGTCAGGAGGGGAGGAGTCCGTGGGGAGTACGAGCATGATTCCGCGGTACAGTGGCAGCAGTAGGCTACCTGTTCCTGGTGCAGTGAACGGTTGCCGTGCAGGGAGTGGGGGCAAGGTTTGGCGGTAGGGAGTAAGTGTGGGAGGGGGAGAGGGGAGATTGGGGAGTGGAGGGGGTTCTGTGGGAAGCACCAGCATGATTCCACAGTATAGCGGCAGTGGCAGCAGTAGGCTGCCTGTTCCTGCTGCAGTGAACAGTTGCCGTGCTGGGAGTGGAGGCAAGGTTTGGCGGTAGCAAGGTTCCAACGGAGGGGAGGAGTCCGTGGGGAGTACGAGTATGATTCCACGGTACAGTGGCAGCAGAAGGCTGCCAGTTCCTGCTGCAGTGAACGGTTGCCGTGCTGGGAGTGGAGGCAAGGTTTGGCGGTAGGGAGTTTATGTGGGCGGGAGAGGGGGGAGTCAGGAGGGGAGGAGTCTGTGGGAAGTACGAGTATGATTCCACGGTACAGTGGCAGCAGCAGGTTGCCTGCTCCTGGTGCGGTGAACGGTTGCCGTGCTGGGAGTGGAGGCAAGGTTTGGCAGTAGGGAGTTAATGTGGGAGGGAGAGGGGGGGATTCGGGAGGGGAGGACCAGTATGATTCCACGGTACAGTGGCAGCAGTAGGCTGCCACTTCCTGCTGCAGTCAACCGTGGCCGCACTGGGAGTGGAGGCAAGGTTTGGCGGTCGGGAGTTTATGTGGGAAGGATATTGGAGGCAGGGGAGTCAGGAGAGGGGAGGAGTGGGGAGCACTTGAGTGATCCCTCGTAGTATAGCGGCAGCAGCAGGGTTGCCTGTTCCTGCTACAGAGAGGTGGCCATGCTGGGAGTGGAGGCAAAGTTTGGCGGTAACAAACTTTTGGATGAAATTGCAGCAGCAGGGCTGCCTAGCCCTGCTGCAATGATCAGTGGATGTGTACGGGCAGTGCAGGGAAGGTCTGTCGACTGCATCAACACTCCACTTCCACAATACCATAACGAGTTGTTGCTTTAAGGGAATAGGAGCAGGAAGAAACCATGACATCTTGTATGCCCTGGCCTTTCTACTAGCTTGCAATAATGGCCCCTAGCTTCATCCAGAGAGTTGTATTGCGGTGGATGGTGGCCGAGGGTATAGTGGTGGCAAGTTACTGACTTCTCACACCTGAAATATTGCGTTTTGAATATCGTTCTGGAATATGAACATTACTGAGTCGAGCTGAGAGATTGTGGAATGGTGGAGTTTTGGGGGTGGGGGGGAGGGAGAAAGGGGGAGGGGGAAATACGAACGCAACGTAACTCCTTGTAAATTATGTGGAACTGTTTCACCACCACAACAGCCATACGTTCAAAGCTACATGTGTTATTAGCATTATGGAAGTATAGTTAGGAAAGGAGGGCATCTCAATTCCAACACGATATCAAACGTTTGAAGGCCGAAAACAATTGGTGCATGCCTTTGATATTAATAAGCTGAAAACGCAGCCCCAGCAGGCCATGAACATCTACTGTACTATATTGGTCTCTAATTCATTTACATGGCATTCGCTATATAAAACTGTGTGGCGAAGTTTGCACACGCAGCCTTTTTGGTATCAAAGTTTCCACATTTTTTAGGTTGGCGGGAAAGCTTCCCTCTGCTTTACGTTCCTCTCAATTCAACGTCATCAATCGGGTCGCAACATATCCCGTTCGCGATTCACTGATTGGCTACTGGCCCAAGCTCGCACCGACATCTTCGCCGATACGCGACAACATCCAGACCAGACTCTCATTTCGCACACTGTGCTTAGTGCATGTCGTACTAGCCGTCCAGACATGGCTTCTCTGGCTCGGACGAGCATAACCTGTCCCGAACCAAACCAGTGATAGCCACGGTGTTCTGGACCAGCTGTCACCTCAACTCCGTCCCGTGCCTAAGCTCCTCTCAAATGTCGACTCGAATCGCACCGCACGCCAAATTTCTTCACAAGGAAATTCGCGCGCTTCCGTGTTTCCCAATTTCACAACCCTCTCCGCCCCACGTCGTATGCTGCTCTCTCCCAATTTCCATCGCTTGCGCGTAAGATCAATCTGCTCGTTGATGAGAGTTTTGCTCAGTCCCGCGGAATCGCGCTTCGTTTTATTATAGCCACGTGGCATGCTTTTGATCGTGGGAACCGCGATCTGTTTTATTGTTCCCACAACTTTCAAGAGAAATCTAGTTAAGTTTAGTGGGTTACATGTACTGCGCTGCCAAGGGCAAAAATAAACCCCTATAGGAAAGGAATGCGTTAGGGATGCATCAACCTTAAACTTAACTAAATAGAATTTGAAATGTGTGGGAACAATAAAACAGATCGTGGTTCCCGCGATCATAGGTAGGCCACGTGACGATAATAAATCAAAGAGCGATTCCGCGGGATTGAGCAAAATTCTCGCTCGTTGATGCTGTTTCAACCCAATTTTCGCCCCTTGTACACCACATTACCGTTGCTTGTTTGTTGACTTGGCCTGGTCATGTTTCATGATGGTGCTCCTCATTCATGGCTAAATCACCCATCGCAATTCCACCATCCCACTGCAACAAGTGCAGCTGGTCCCGATTCAACCCCACCCAGCCCCCACCACATAACATCCGTGCACCTCACCACCATGCCACCGACTAATAACCATTCGCCAATGGCCACCAGTTGACGGTTCGCGTCTCGTCCCGCCCGCTCGTTTGCTGCTTACTCTCCCGCGAATTTTACAATTTGCAGCCAAAACCTTGAGCTAAAACCAAGACGATACATCCATTGGGGACACCGACAGGTTGATAGCGTATCGCCGACCCATCTTTATCATACTTGCGCTTTCCCAGCAGCTGCAGAAGCAGCTACAGTCCAGTCAACCGTTGATTTAAAGTGCAGCACTTCCCATCAAACCCTAGCTTCTTGTCTGCTGATCAAAACTAGGGACTTGCACGTCTCGAGGCTCGCCCCATCACCCCAAAGATCTTGCGACTTCGTTGCTCTACTCTGAGCGTTCCCATTCAGAGCGTCGCTGCGAAACCATCCGACGTCTGTCCTCTTATCCGAGCGTCCTTTCATACACCTCACGGAAAGACTCACACACCTCACTATCGCAAGTCCCTCACTTCTCGCCATCTGCTCAAACTGCTAGCAGACCCCGTCAGTCGCGCTATAGAAACGGCTCTCACGCTGCACGCTAGTCGACGGCGCATCGTAGTTCACGGCTTGAACGCTGGCACTGGAGTTTAGAACGTGTCAGTTCAGGACCTTCACGTGCTCCGCAATTTTCACTGCTCTAGCGTATGTAGTCGGCTCAATTGTACGTAGCAGCCCTGACACAGAAACCCCGAAAACACAGATTTGAATACATTAATCACGCGCTCTGGTCTTAGTGCTCTCCTTCCGTGGTGCCACGAGCTTGCGAACAAACTTCGCTTCGGTCCAGTGTAGAGTTGTAAGAAGGCGTCGACTTGTAAAACGAAGACACATTCTTGCTCTTCCGAGGAACTCAGCTCCTTTTTGGAGGAAGGTCGAGACAGGGCGATGGGTCGCACGATCGCCTGCTCTCGCACAGCGACGTGGGCTACCGGCGTGCGACGGAACGTGTCGCCTAGCGATCCTGCGAAATTGTCGGCGACGATGGGGTTGAGATGGCTGGCCGTCGTCTGCTTGGTGACATTCGTCGCAGGAGGACTCCCGACGTCGCAGGCCGGAGGTACGGGATTGGGGACTGAGACAGAAACGGGTAAAAGCTCCTACTATCATTTACTACTAGCAGTTGTGCAAAGAAGACTGATTATTTCATCCACTACTATGCGCCAGTTAAATCACGCAACAGACGTAACATACTCACTGCCGCCCCTTCCCCTCCAACCCTTCCAGCTGTGCGCTCCAAAGCCGCGGCGCCTGTGCGCCAGGGTGCATAGTGCACCTGGCGACCGTTCCGCTCACTCCGCTGCAACCCCGCTCCCCCTCCCTCACTCCCATATTTCCCACCTCCCTCTCCACAGCTACGCGCGCGAAAGCCGCGGCGCCCCTGCGCAAGCAGTACATAGTGCACCTGGCGGCAGTGCCGCCGGTGCTCAACTACCGCGGCGGCGTGGCGGGGCTGGCGGCGACCGCGCCGGAGCTAGACGACAACGACCCCGAGAGCAGCCCCACTGACGCGGATGACGACGATAGCGCTCCGGTTGATAGTCCAGGTGGCGGTTCGGGTGGCGGTTCAAATGGCGGTTCGGGTGGCGTTTCGGGCGGCGGTTCGGGTGACTCGGGTGGAAATTCAGGTGAAAGTCCAGGGGGAGGTGCAGGAAATGGAGCAGGAGGAGGAGGAGCGGATTCAACGGGGGTTCGATTTCCAAGTGATGCGACAGCCGGCGGCGCTACAGCCGGTGACGGTACCGCCGGCGGCGATACAGCCGACGATTCTACAGCTGGCGACAGTAGCGCTACAAATATCACGCTGGCAGCAGCGACGCTCCAAGGGCTCAGTGCGGCCCGACTCGCCACCGTTAGTAGCACATCCGCTGTACCCCCTCGCTTCGGTACAATCACGAAATCGACTTTTGAGGCTCCTCTGAAAGCGATACGACGGCTTGCGGATCGGATTAAGCGGCGCGCGGACGTGAGGCGGGCGAACGTGAAATCTTTCGTCAACTTCCTGCGGGATTCGCAGCGGCAGTTTTTGCGAAAGAATAACATTTCGCCGTCGCAGATGTTCCAGAGCTACACGTACACGGTTAACGGGTTCGCTGTATCGCTGACGGCCGCGGAAGCGAAACGGCTGAAGCAGCATCCTGCCGTGGCGTGGATCGAAGAAGACAAACCGGTGAGTGAGGGAAAAGACTAAGTGAAAGTAGAGAGAACAGTGTATAAAGCGTTGGGAGGATAGGAGGAAAGAAGGGGGGAAAGCGGGGAAGAACGAGAGAGAGCGGGGAAAGGGGGGGAGAAGGGGAGGAGAGCTGGCCGAGACAGAGGGGGAAGAGGGAAAAGGTGTAGTCAAAAAGGGGGAAAAGGAGATGGGAGAGGAGGGGTTGTTGGGGTAAGGACACATAATATTTATTGCTCTCCACAAATGTAAGATTGGAGAGCAATAAATATTATAGAAGCTTACACCGCTTGTTGC